AGGAACAGGGCCATCCTCAGAGCTTACCAAAAATGTCAAAATGATGTCTGAGGCAACACGATTAAAGCTCTATCCCTTTTTTATATGGGTCAGATGCCCCTGAAAAGTAAGAAGGAAAGACGTCTTATAGCATAGCTCTTAGTGCTTAATTGGCCAAAATCCTCAGAATTTTCCTCATGATATCTGCAGTTTTGTGGCAGAGGAGAAATAAAACCCCCAGACAAACAATCCTTTTTAGATGCTCCATTTATCTGTCAATTAGAAACTAATTTTTTCAGTTTCAGAAAAAATTTCTCCAAAGATTGACTCTCTATTAGCAAATATTTAATTAGTCACTCATTCTAATACGATGTTCCAATGAGCCATTATATAGCAATTCATTAGCAGTTAACAATGTATAGCCAATAACTCTTTCTGAAGAATGGTATTTTAATATTGTTTTCCATTTGTTCTTTTAGACTTTGCATTAATCTTTATAGCTAAAAAGGGAAATTTGATTATTTTAAATGTCATACATTTGCTAAATCTCCTGATCATTAAATCCAATTCTGTTAGAATACATTTAATGCCAAAAGAACAAAATAAACTATGTCCTTGCACTTTTGCAGTTACAAAAACAAGGTTTAACCCTAGAAAATGTTCCAAGATGATTGTATTATCCTAATGAAATATTTAGCTATGCTCAAGAAAAAGGGAGCCATATAATCTTTAAAAATAAGATAAAAACAAATTACACAGGCAAAGAACTCATTTGATGTATAGTATTCAGTTTCACTTATTAGGAGCATAATTTCAGAATCCTTAAACTATTAAACAATAAAAATAGAATTTATTGCAGATGAAAGAGAATAAACATAATTAATTTAACAATATCGTGAACATGATGGCTTTCTAGAGAAAGTTAAAAGCCAATCAATGACTCCAGCACATTATTAATTGTATGACATTGATTTGTATTTTACATTATAAGAGAGATAATACCATTCTAGTCCAAAAATTCTTCTATGCAAGTCGTTCTCTGCATTGAGAGCTGAGAGTCTGAGGTGGATAACTTCCATATCAGAAAGTGAAAATGTATCTGAATATTGTATTACGTTTCTATTCATAAGTTTAATGTTGTTATATTTCATCTGTCTTTGCATGTATCTGCATACATGTAGACCATTTGAAGAAGTGCTATTCTCTATCCATGTGAACAATTCTTATTCACTAGCAATCTCCCATTTGTGACTGTGTGCAACAGATTAAACATTCTCAATATGCAGCATTACATGAAATATTGTGAATGGCACCACTACACATAGCAAGAGATTGATGGATGCTGATGGGTGTCATTTCCAGACTCTTTTCATTCTAACTTATTATTAAGATTGATTATGTTGAGTAATATCAATGATACTTCTACCCAAAGAGGTATAGATCAATGGAACTGACTTTTTCTTAATTGATGCTCAGTTTTATCTGCAGTCATTTTCTGGCTTAATAAGCACAAAACAGATAAATCATGAGCTTGGCACAATTTTAGCATTTCAGCTAAAACTATATAATAGATATAGATTTACTTGCATCTCTATTGCAATCCACAAATCAACCCATGATAACGGAGACCTTCCAGCTAACTTAACCCTACCCTGAAGATAAATTAGAAATATTTACTGTATACCATTTGTATTACAAATAGAATACCTTAAAAGGAAGGCCTGAATAGTGCTTGAGCTTTCAAATTTGCACACATATTTTATACAGCTATTTTGGGGAAGGTGCCTTATACATTGTCCTCCTGCATTACAGAGTTCTGGCACCAAGAAAATAAAACCTTTCAGTCTGTCAGCAGTAGTTGCTTTGGACTCAGCCTGTCTGATGCTGAGTCCCATTTTGAGGTGCTAAAATCCTTATAGCTTCCAGAGGTCTTAACCTCTTATTTCTATTGAGAACAGAAAACTTTATAACTTAGCAGCTTGGCAAGCAAGCCACGCTGTGTCACCTCATGCCACCTATGAGCATATGTTCATACATAAGAGTGGCATATACATTTGATAAACCAAGAAGCAAAGTATATAACAAAGTTCTCAATTAAATCACAGACCCATGCATTTAAAATAGCTAATATTTTACATATCTTTAAAGAAGTAATTTCCCCCCCCCCTCCAATACTGCAGAAAATCAGCTGTCCTGAAACTAGAGCCTTTATAGTACTGGACAATAATTCCTATGTGTTGTAGAAGGTAATCTTAACCATTGATCTTTCCTGTTACTACCCCAGTCCGAAGATTCCTAATCCCTATGGCTTGACAGAAAAGAGAAAACAAAATTAGATCTTAATCCTGGAAAGTGATGGTATTTGGCATAATGTACTCATTGTAATTGGTTAAACATGAGATTCTACTCCTTATTTGTTTTTTTAAATGTCACTCTAGCTTAAATGTCATTCTTCATTTAAATTTACATTCATTTAAATTTAAATGTCACTCTGACCCTGAAGAGTCACTAAATGTTGTCTTTAGGTTACTACTAGAACTACAGGTTAAAATGGTCTGACCATATAGGAACTTTAGAAATTATTAGTAACTAACTGTTGTATATTGAGAGAGAGAGAATCAGAGAGACAAAGAGAGAGAGAATATAGCCTTTCCTTACGAATGTAACAGAATAAAATAACAATAAAGGTCCCAAACTTAAAATTCACTAGCTAAACTTTGTAGTGTTTACTACTTCCCCAGATTATTATATAATTATACAGATAATGCAAAACCAGCAGATTGTATCACAAAACCAACGCCCATGATAATCAAATATCTTCAGCTACATTCATGCTCAAAACAAATGCTCAAAACAAATGCTCAAAACAAATAGCATGGCACTCCATTAAATCAGAGACCACATGAGAGATTTTAGCTTATCACAACTGAAGTCACAACTAGAAAGATTTTGAAAAAATGTACACATTCAATCCACCGTTCCAATCAAAGTTGGTCATAAAATGCATACATCCACTCATAAATTAACTCATATTATCAGCAGAGAACACAAAAAAAGGAGAAATGAAATAAAAGATCTGAGGGGTTAAACACACTAGCTATATAAGGATGTCATTTAAAGCACACTTCACAAAACACTCAGAACATCCCTGTCACAGACAAGGTGTAATCCCCACTGTGGCATGATCTAATATGCCCATTTCCACATTCCTAAAATGGAAGGGAATTATGTTCACAGTATGAAACAAACAGAATAACCTGAAACACAACAGAAGGGTATGAGTTTCCTAATATAACAACATCTTTTTTCCTATGTTCTCTCAATCCAGAGAGCAATAATGATGGTGCTTTCACACATGGAAATTACCCATGAAAATATCATTTCCATCTTGCTAGATTAAAAAGGGTGTATTTCTCTCAGAGGAGGTATTTTTGAATAACACCTGTGTTAGGTCTTAAATGAAGGGTTGTGTTGTTTTCGTATTTCTCCTGAGAGGATGACATTAAGGCCGATTGATGCACAGTGTGAATTTATAGTAGTGGAAAGGAAGGAACTAGGCTGGTTTTGTTTTCAGGGAGAATTGAAGTTCCCATTCTTTTCCCTCCAACATGACAGTAATCCCATTCAATTTAATAGAATTTTGTTCCCAAAAAGAATATACAACACTGAAAAGCAATAGAAGACCTGTGGGTACATTGTACTTGCAGTCACCCTTGGCACCCTATCCCACTTCTGACTTCAAACTTTTATTATTTAAGCTTTAGAAAAAATAAAGTGACATGTGACAAAGCAAGGTGACAACAATCAGGGCCATCTTTATTTCTAAGAATACCTCAGCGCACCGGCTTCTGAGGCATTGTTTAAAAATGGAAAGGTGGGTGGCCAGTAGGTAGTCCTTTATTTGACCTGCATGGAAAAAGAAGCCAAAGGTCGTACAGGGCATTCAAGTGGTGGGGGTGAACAGCAATGTCAATACTTCACAACCTTGTAAATAGATGCTTTGTGAATGACCAAACCCTTTTTGTCAGCCATTTTGTAAATGCAGCGCAATCATTTTTGAAAGTGCCCACAACAGCCTTTTAAAATTCCAAATAAGTCTATGGTGGTTCCAAATGTTTTCTCATCCTGAACAGAACTAGCCTGTATGTGTTCTTCTAAGTATTCCCAAAAGAATAGTACAAAGCAAAGGAGTCTTGATCTGGAGCTATAGGAGGTTGAAGAAGTACTGTATAAGAAGAAAGATGCTATTGTTGGGCTGTTGGGAACTTCTGACAATGAAAGTCGAGGAACCTCAAGAGCTAGCTGTTAAGAAACAACTAGACAATCTGCCCAATCTCTGTGCAGTGCTTGATGAAATGTTCATAAATGTGTACTGTAACTCTTTGTAAAGGTTTTACTGAAAAGAAATAAGGTGTATCTCCAAACTTCAGGCAAGGAGCAAAAGTAACGCCCTTGAAATTTAATGCATAACTTACAACACTTTCATTCATATTTCTATCAATCTCTGTCTCTATCACCTCTATCCTCTATTTATCTCTATCATTTATGCTATGTTATAAACCTAAACTATGATTTATTTAGGAAAAAAATCAATGGAGTTTGTAAAGATAATGCAAATAAAATATCACCTTAAATTTCCAGATCTGCAAATGTTAGGATAGCATCCTTTCATAACAATTAAATACAATAATAAAAGTAGTAATAATAGAATAATAATTCAACTGCCAACAATCCTGATAAGTAAACCTGCACACAACCCACATCATAATTTTCTAGTTAGGCAGAGCTTTCTAATCTTTATTTACAAAACCATTCAAATGTGGTTAAATAATTATGTAAGTTGTTTTAGTTTCACACTAATGGCGTACATTAGCAGATGTCAATGAACAGAAATTCAATATAGCACCAATACAGTTTGCCTTCTCTGATTTCTCTTCATTTGCAAGCTGGTTTGAAAATGTGCATTTCTGAATTTCAGTATGATATATGCATGTATTGGAAAAAAAAACAGTTAAACTTACCAGCTGTTTCAGTGGGTTCTGGCATTGTTTCAGTTTGTCTTTATTCCCAGTATGTGCAAATACAACAGCAAGGAATCATCGAGTCCCCAAGATACAAATGCAGCCCAGTACAACAAGCAGAGAGTGAGAAGAATTTTTCCATTTTATATACAGCCTTAAAATATCAATCAGAGTAGTACCTCCTCTCCTATCAATGTAAATCATCTGAAAATTGACAGTTATGGGAGCTCAGTTTACATCTGTTGTTTGAAGCCACTGCCCCCCTCGGCTTTAGGAAGGAATCTCCGCTGCATTTCATGTGGCTGAGGAGATCAGTTATAACTTTCTAATTTCAGACCTGTGGATCCACATACAACATGGGGAATCAAACAGCTTGCCAAGCTATCAGAGGGCTTTTGGAGATGAGAGATAGGTTAATAGAGAATTGTCGTTTCAGCCCATCCCTGCGGCACTATAGTCCAGACAGACAGCCTGATCAGGGATATGCAATGCTACTTAACTATTTTTAGTGCTTTGATGGATAATTTAAACTTCAGAATGCTTTCCTTAACTTGAGGAACGTAGAGTGCTCATCTTCTGGGATGGGAGATTATGGCTGGCTTCAGTGACGCTGCTCGAGACAAGGAGAACTAACAGAAGTGACACTTATTTTTTTCTTCAGTCAAAAATGATGGACAATTCTTATCTGGGAATAAGAAGGCAAAAGATTAGTACATTAACAAAGAGGACACAAATACGATTTTCTACAAAAACTAAAAAAACATGGCAGTAAAACAGCACAGCATTTGTGTACTTTCAGATAATTGTCCATCCGTAAGTTCTTTAGAAGCATGGCACAGAGGCAAATGTCACAGATATCACAGTGTAGTCCAGGTCTGACTTTTCATGCAGAGTAATAAAACTAATCAATCCAAGTATGTATTTATGTGAATTAATATGCTCAGTTTCCCACATACCCCAAATTACTGTGTCATAAATGTCAACAGCTCTTTAGAAAGGGGAATGTAGTTTGATTAAAGAATTGTTCCTGTTTTCCTATTATATCTTTTGGTCACATTAACTCAACTTTCTTTTTTACTTGCCATGCTTTGCAATCTTTTTAAGGGAAGCGGAGGAGAAAAAACAAAAGGCTGCCTCAGAACCAACAGTAATTCTGTGGTACACTTTAAATTCTCTGCATAGGCTTAATGAATCATATCATGATGATTCCAGGGATGGCCCAGATATTACTTAGGGAATCACAGCCCTCAATATTCCTATCCCTGGTATTGATCACCTAGAGCAGTGGTTCCCAACCTTTTTCAGTTTATCGCCCCCTTGGTGCTACAAACTCATCCTCAGTGCCCCCCACCCAGGGGTGGGATTCAAATTTCTTAACAACTGGTTCTGTGGGTTTGGCCTAATTTTGGGGTGTGGCTTGGTGGTCATGTGACTGGGTGGGTGTGGCTTGGTGGTTGGCGTGGCTTGGTGGTCACCTGACTGGATGGGCATGGTTTGGGAGTCATGTGACTGGGTGAGCGTGGCCAGGTGATTGGCAAACCAAATATAAGTGGTCCTCGCTTAATGGTCGGTTGCTTAATAAGTGTTCTAATTTATGACTGATCTTCCCAGAGCTACTTGACCTCTTTTTGGAGTTTTGACAGCCATGCACACACACACACCCTTCTAACCCCGCTGGAGCAGGTGGTTGGACTAGATATTTCATTCACTTTCTCCTCCCTCCCTTTCTTTCTTTCCTTTTTCTTTCTTTCTTGCTGCACTTCCTTCCATCCCCCCTCTTTCTTTGCCTACTCTTTTTCTTACTTTCTCGCTCCCTTTTTCTTTTCCTTTTCTTTTTCTTTTCTTTCTTGTATCTTCCTTCTCTCCCTCTCTTTCTCGTTCTCTTTCTCTCTCTCTTTCTCTTTCTCTCCCTCCCTCCCTCCATATCCCATTCACTTTCTCCTCCCTCTTTCTTTCTTTCTTTCTTTCTTTCTTTCTTTCTTTCTTTCTTTCTTTCTTTCTTTCTTTCTTTCT